TTACCTTCAGAGATTAAAATTACCAAACCATCATGAATCTCGACTTGAAATGGATGAGTGATTTAAATGGCTTTCGAAACGTAAATAGTAGATCTGTTAAATTACTGACTAGTAATTACAGCCGCGCTCCGTTCTCGTCAGTGATACATGTACCTATAGATAATACATTAGAAAGTAATACTGATCATTCTTCCATTGCATTTAATTAAAGGTCTGAAGCCTGAGGGAGTTATCAACGATGAAAAGAAAGATCAAGATTGCCCTTTAAATGAAGATATAGAGAAATAGCTCTTTCAAAGAACCTTGTCTATAAACACGGATCAAATATATGGGAATGTCTAAACTTGATATTTTGAACTGATACTTTTCTTCAAAAACTACTTTATTAGAAAAACTATTCTGGTACGAAAAGCCTGCAGTTGTATTCTTACCATTTTTTTTCCAATAAAGCAAAGAACTAAGCACTCTGTCTAAGTTATGATTTTTGATAACGAAGACTTTGAAATATATTCTTGCGATCAGTTTGTATCATTGCTCTCGCGGGTTTCTCGGGGTTCCTTGAAAAGACCAGTTACAAGCCAAAAAAGTAGGAATGACGTAGGATCCTAAAATTTTTTTCAAAATTTATTTTGCCTCAGGAATACAGATCACATGTGTTTTCTTTCCTCCTCGTATTACATCTTCCTTTTCTCTAATTTATCACACATGAACATTCAGTCAACACTGAAATACAGAGTTATTATTTTGTGCCCTAAAATCTATGTTACCTATCATATTTCAAAAACCTTTCACAAACTGAATACCGGTTTAACTTTGCGGTCAATCCGGCTGCCTGAGGATGAAACAGAAAAGGCATTACTTTGGAAAGAACCTTTTTTCCAGTACCTCAACGAGTTTGTCACCGGTGAGATCAGACAATTTAGAATTCGCCTCGTCTACACCGTAAGTTTTGTTAGTCAGATATCGGATGTGAGGCTTGGCCGATAGCAAGATCTCCTTTATGGTTTCAGCGATTTCTTCTGATTTTTGTCCCTCGTTGGCTGTCAGCTCTGTCATCGTAGCAATCACAGATTGCATCAGCTGGATTGACTTTTTGTCAGCGGTTGAGAGGTCCACTTGACTTACCATACCCTTCAAGTTACTGATGAACGAAGTGACAACCGGTCCTGGCTCAACCAAAGAGATCCTGGCAAATTACAAATTGATTTTAATGTTACAGTATAATGAAACTGAAAAACCTCAATCAATAGAGCATTGTAACTCACCATTCACCTCACATGAAAAAGTTGAAATACTGTTTACGTAACGAGGATTCATGAAATAGCACCACTTACCTAATATTGAACTGTTTCAACACAGGTGCCAGCGACTCTGTCAATCCTCCCATTGCAAACTTTGCTGCAGAATACATGTCGTTAAATGGTCCACCCGTTATTCCAAAAATACTGCTGACATTAACAATGTAACCATCCTGCCTCGCTTTCATGCCTGGGAGAACAGCCTGGATCAAACGAACGGATCCAAAGAAATTAACGTCAAACATTTGTTTAATGTGTTCCATTGTCATGCATTCCAGAGGCGCCACACAACCAACACCGGCGTTGTTCACTAGAAGACAAAAAATTGTCACAATCGGTTGCATAAAAAAGACCCGTCCAATAGGCCTTGGTAATCCTCCAACCGGCTTTGAAATTTGGTAATCCATTGGTGCCTAGCCTCTAGCAGTTCTTGAGATGTCACGCAACACCCAGAGAGCATTGCATGACACTTGAAAGAACAGCTGCGAAGAAGGCTAACTCGCACTTCTCGGTCCGGTTCCAGTGCCCTAACCAGCATGTTACAAAACACTTCTTGAGAACAGTTACGACAGAAAAAACCCGAGACGTTATTTCATACAGTGATTTCAATTTTTACTTATATCAGTGGCCTTGTTGGTCAATATCGCAATGATTATATATGGGTTATATTTCTTAATGCTATGCATGGACAGTGGTGCGCAGTCTTCCGAAAATAAAAGTTTTGAATATGCGGTCGTCTTGACATTTTCAGCTTTCTTTGCCTTTCTTCTGTTGTTCATACTAAAGATTTCATTGTGCTTCAGCTGTATCCAAGCAATATATTTTCTATTCAACGCAGCTTAATTTCCATATGTAATATGTGAAGACGTTTTGGAATATCATTTAGCACCTAGTTTCAAATTACTTTCTTTCCCAAATTTATAACTTCAAGACTCAATTCAGTGTGGAAGATTTCAGCGCAGTTGTTGGAGAACAGTTACAAGACCTAAACTAAATGAATGCAAAAATATGTTCGCAAAGTGTCAGCACATTAAGGAATAAGGAAACAATTTCTTTAAACAATAATGTTATATTCTATCGCTTGAAATTTTCTGGTTCAATTAACTTATTGATAGGTAATCAGAGTTGTGTTTGCCTTGTTAGGGGTGAAATAAGAGAACTTGGATGGTCCACGGCCAGTCGAATTCAAGACTATGCGGCAAGTGATATCGGTCCTTAGCGAATGGCAGTCTAAGACCAATTGCAAGAATCCTGGTATGAAATTAATGGAAAATTCTAGACGTAAAATTCTAGACGCAAAACAAAACAAAGAGCTCTCGCTTCACATCGTTTTCTAATAATATCTTTCCCCAAATTGCATAAATTGGGTAACTTCTGTTTACGAATAAAGCAGCTTAGGTGAAGGCCACGAACATGTATCTGGTTGTAAAATGGCGTGATTATAGATCATCGACGTTAACCTAGAATTTGAGATACTGTTATTTTTTCGTTTAGTCTGATCGCAATTCACTCCACAATCGCTATCATTTACTTATTCATCAAGCAATATGTTCAGAATATTCTAAAGCACCTCGATTCGTTGTTCCTGAACTGCCGTTCGTTTTGTTTTTTTCTGAACTTACCAAGAACATCGATCTTCCCTTCCTTCGCAATGATTTCTTCGACCACGCTTTTCACAGATTCGTCACAGCTTACATCCATGCACATAATGACCAGTGTTTTGCCGAGTCGTTCCTTTCCTTCCTCTTCCAGAGAGGTCTTTTTCTCCAGATTTCTCATGGTTGCGTACACCTTAAAACGTTTTTCGGCATCATTAGCTAAATGAAGTGCGGTGTGAAGGCCGATACCAGTTGAACAGCCTGAGATTAAGACGATCCTTGGCGACGCCATTTTAATTAACCTCTGGGCTAAGTTATGCTCTGACAAAAACAAAGAAGGAATATGACCCCATCAAGTAACCGGAAGTAAATCGTTCTTTGGCAACCGGAAATAGGCTTCCGTTCAGAGTTCACCGGGCAAGTTGCTCTACGTATTACTGACTGATAACCCATCTTTGGTCCTCACTGGCGTGAGCAGGTTACCTCGTGATTGCAATTTTCATATTCGTAACTTCAGGCATTCAATTTTGCGATTACGTGACTTTGAAATTTAACTGAGGCTTAGCCCTGGAAACCCAAGATATTGCTGTGTCACGCCAGCCGCTTTTGATTGGTCGATAGAATCTTCTTTGCTGTTTGTAACTGATTACAGAACAACGACCTCGCCCACGCAACGCCTCGATCAACATTGTAGGCGCATCACAGTCACGGAAGAACGAACGAACGAACGATCGCAGCAATGGCTTCATTTCGTGTGGTTTTAATCTCCGGTTGCTCCACTGGCATTGGCCTAGAAACTGCCGTGCTTTTGGCCAAAGATCCCGAGAAACGTTTTAAGGTGTACGCTACGATGAGAAACCTGGACAAAAAGACGACCCTTGAGAATGAGGGAAAGGATGCACTTGGTGATACATTGATTATCAAAGCCATGGATGTGAGCTCTGACAAATCTGTCAAAAGTGCCGTTGAGGAAATAATTGCTCAAGAAGGAAAAATCGATGATCTCAGTAAGTGAATTTCGAGGTGTCCTTGATGTAAACGAGCTAAGAATTCTGAAAAACTCAGATGTGTTACATTTTATTTTGTAAGTGTATTCACGCACCATTTCAGGTCGAATTATTTACACAGGGGTAGTCATGAAAAATCTCTGCGCATTACTGAAAGCTCCACCACGAAAATAATCGTATGTTTGTTGACATGTTTATGCTAGCACCACTTTTTCATCTCGCAGGATTAATTTTATTTCAAATTAACAAGAGATGAAACCGATATCGTAGATGCAATAAAAGCTAAAATGATTTGCATATCAGAATACTGAAAATGATGAGTCAGAACAATAGAGCCCTGAAAACAATAGAGCAGGACAAAGCATATTTGTGATGAAGCTTTATCAAATGACTGTGAACAGATGAAAATCATAGATGTGAACTGCGGATAAAGACGTGAATTCAACGGTATCATACAGGTTATCGGTTCAAATCCCGAACAGGCCAAAGGTTTTTGTGAGGCCTTATTTTCACTGCTGCTCAAGTAGTGTTCATTACTGCGTAG